CGTTTGACCTTTAATCTGAAATAAATTGCATTTCAACAAAGTTCCCATTCAAGACTCGTTTCCAAGAAAATTATAAAAACATTAAGAGGCACAGAGCGCCTTGGCAACTTGAACCGAACGACAGTTCGATCGAAGGGGATCCAATCGCGGAAATTTCGCGGCCTGAAGAAGACCGTGCGGGAGAGGGGGCTCACGTAGGAGTGACTCATACCTGACTAATATAAACTTTATGCAATCTCCATGCGCGTCCGAGTATGAGGACAGTTATGTCACTGCCTTTCTCCTCTTGGAACAGGGTCTTGTATATGTACTGCGCCGTCGTCAGCAATTTTCTCCTGCGAAACGGAAACACATGAGAGAGACGCTAAACGACGACGCGATCGTCGTCGAGTCGACGGCCCGCGGAGCGAGAGGGCGGACGTAGGGGAGGCCGCGAGAGAGAGAGAGAGAGAGCGAGCTTACTTTTTTGGCGTGTGCAGTGTCCGCTCGATGTAATCGGACTCCGACTCGCAGTCGTACTCCTCGATGTACTTGCGCTTGCAGCCGCGGTACACGTTGTGCACCGCCAGGTTCGACATCGACGCGATCCTGCTCGCGTAGCCACCCATCGTCACGGTGACGGTGACCGCGATCGCCTGGGCGCCGCGTCGCGATGTGTCTCGCCTCGTCCCTGCCTCGCCTCGTCCTCCCACGACGCCTCGCGCGCGTTTCTTCCGCGAGGATCACGCGTTCTCAACTCGCGTCGCCGTCGTCGCCGTCGCCGTCGTCGTCGATCGCACTTGCTTCACGGGCAGCCGTGAAACCGAACCTGCACGAGCGCGTAGGTGCACTGGCGGATGGGCGGAAGCGAGCCGCGGACGGCGCATGTAAACACTCGACATATGTTGCGGCCAGGGCCGCCGTCCTCGACGAGGTCGCCCTGGGTCGCCCCGTCCGTCGGAAATGTCGGGGGGGGGGGGGGGAGCCAATCGTGTATTGTAAGGCTTGTTTTCTCTTCCTGCACTGGTGAACTGGTGCAGCAAGCTAGAATAAGAGAAAATACACTTGTCTTACTAGAATTTATTGCGCTACTTCACCAGCGCAACGATAGGAAACAAGCCTTATAAGAAAACAAATTTCTACGAGCGACTACGAAAACTTGACTCGAAATAGAAATTTGTAGAAATTTTTCTATCTTCGTTGAGACATTTATTTCTCTGTGAAAATATCTACGAAATAGCACTGCGAATTACAATGCTCTCGAATCACACGAGATTAAGATGCGCATAGGTAATTGGTTATTTGTTATTTAAACTTTGTGTTGCAGTTTGAACCTTCGACGCGAGGATTGCGTATGTTTTTTTATCCCCCCTTTCGACATCGTTCCGCTAGAATTTAAAGCGACTTGAAAGAGTGGCACAGAATAGTAATTTTGAGGGACGCCTCCCTATTTCGTGACGTCGCGTTGCCAGCACTGGCCGGGCGAGTACGAGACTACGAGCAGCCTGGGCTGCTGAATGATGCCATTTGGTAAACAATCCCCCTTATTTTCTTTTCGTACGTGAGTGCGACGTAAATCGCACGTTCCGACAGTTGCCTTAAATGGCGTAGGAAGGCGGGCACCGTGTGCTTAGAGGGTTTCAGGGATCAATAGCGATAAGGTAGCGAGTAGAAGAAAATTATGCCCGCCTCGTGTGCACGACCGCGTTAACCTCTCGTCACGCTGTGCCAGCGACACGACTGCCGTTGAAGCCGCGGGCGTCAACGACACGGCATGCCGACGGGCTCGAGGATGCGTCATTGAGGCTTTTTCATCCGGCCAGCGTTGTACGATGCTATAAATCTCACGCGAGATGTTACGGCGAAATAGGTAATTTGTATAGCTGCTCTGGATTGTTAGTCCCGCAAGAAACGTTGAATATTTATGCCTTCTGCAAAATTCATAGCGCGAAAACTGATCGATGAGACAAGAGGTATATCGAACAGAGTAAACTCCGTTTTAGTTTCATTATTTTGCCGATTGGTGTATTAACCCTTTGCACCCCTACGTCGAGTGTGACTCGACGTCAGTTTTTATCTCGGGAGCTCCTTTGTCGAGTCTCGCTCGACATTTTGTTCCAAGTCCAGACCAATAGATGAAATATAATTCGGACTGCAAAGGGTTAAAGTGGAGCTTGGTTGCACAAAGTGGCCAGCGAACTTGTCTTGTTTTTCAACAATTAAATATTAAAGAGATTCCAGATAGCCAGCTGACGTTATACGTCGTCAATTTGACATGAAAGATGCCATTTTTGCAGGCATTTTGACGGCGAGTGCCGTCAGCTGGCTACAGTCTGGGTTATTGCTTAATGCGACGCACCGTGGGAAATCGGGATTATAAATGGCTGATAACTTGCAGGTTCAAGCACAGAATAATATCCGTGAGCGTGATCGTGCTCGCGACAATATTTTACAATGAATTCCTCGTATACGAAGTACAAAAGCTCAAGTGGGCCATGCGCGAGTGCTCCGAGTGCGTCAAGGTCCTCCTCGTCGCGGATCCACAGATACTCGGGGAGAAATATGAGAATTACTTTGGCTCATGGATAGCGAGATGGGACAGCGACAGGTGAGGCCAGCGTACGTCTGTTTAGGCTGCTTTCCTCTCATGGGTTAACACACTCGAGCAGAGGTTTGCCGCAGTGGCAAAGATTCAAAGGGAGAAGATTTCACCGAAATCTTGAGAGCGGCTGCCTTCTCTGGCTTGGAAACATTCCGGCTCTTCGCCCCCGAACAGAGTCGAACAGTGTCGACGAATATTTTCATCTGTTGCGAAAGTCATTACTCCAGCCAGAGTTTGAACCTGGACCTCGCTCTCACTTGGCGGGCGTCTCGCCTATTCGACCACTAAGCCATGTAAGAGAGGGGGTCCAGGTTGAGACAGCGATAGGTGGGGTAATGTCTTTCGCAATGAATTTAAAAGAAGAATTATTCAGACGCCAACGTACTGTCAGGGCTCTTTGGTCTTTTTGTTTATCACACGAGAGCCTTATGAATTTTATTACTGGAGGAAAGTCCTCTATTGCGAGATAGGATTCTAAATGTGAGAGAGTGAGTTTGAATCGCAAATCTTTTTTTTCGCAACGATCACACGATTTAAGTGAATTTCCTAATGAACTTTCCGCTAAACAGATTTCACTCCGAGGGCAATAAGTTGACGGCGGGACCAACAGACGATGCCTATTAATTTAGCAGAAATTCCGCTATCTCATATTAGGACCTTTCTCATAACAGGGGACTTGCCTCTATTGATCGAGATTGAGTCAAATTCTGAATGGAAAGCGACGTGCGTTGATTTGTGCCACAAGTGTCGACTGTGTTTCCCGGAGGGAAAGCGGCCTAATTTAACGGCGATCGAGTCGCCACATGGGTCATTTGTATTTTGTCGAGATAGATTTCTAGTTTAATCTCACAGAGCGCCGCGTTCTGTCGCTTCAGGTACCTGGAGAAAACCTTCTCGAGGGCGATGAAGTTTTCCCAGCCGCACGTCATTGCCTTCTTAGGTGATCTCATGGACGAGGGCCACATAGCTAACGCGGAAGATTTCGAGAGGTACAAGAGGAGGCTGGACTCAATATTTTCCATGCCGGATGACATAATGGTATTTACTTTGGTTTACGCAACGCCCTTTTCTTTTCCCCTTCGCGGAAAGTCCGCGTCTCATCGCCGGACTTGTTTCCCTTCAGAAAATCTATCTGCCGGGCGACAACGACATTGGAGGCGAGGACGATCGTGTTTCTTCCAACATCAACAAGAGATTCAATTTCGCGTACACCCAGCCGGACACGTTGGTGTACAAGACCGTCACTTTTTTTAAAGTATAAACCGCAAATTCTCTGGCACTTACAATCTTGGCGCGTACAAGAGATGAGTACATGAACGTCTTGTTTTAGGTGAACAGATTGACGCGCACGATGCCGGAAGCGCCGAAGGATGCGTTTCTCAATGATTACGCGGAAAGGAACACCACCAATGTTATCCTCAGTCACATGCCTTTGCTGTTCACGCCCGGGACTTTCGTGCAGAACGTACGTACAGGCGTGCACGAAGAATGAGAAGGGAGCCTACGCGCGCCCCGACGACTCACCCCGGCGCCGCTGTTCGTTTGCAGGTGCTCAAGGAGCTGTCGCCGCAGGTCATCTTCACCGCGCACGAGCACAAGGCGATGCACATAAGCCTGGACACGGCGACGGATCAGCTGAGCGACATTTGGATTCTGCCGCCGCACGAGACGCCTCTGTACCAGCTCAGAATGGACGTAGGCGACATCCACGAAGTGCAAATACCGACCTGCTCCTACAGAATGGGCACGCCACACATGGGTTACGGACTCGCCTACATAGGTACGCGGGAGTTCTTTCAGTATGTCAATATTCTCATCGTCTATTCCCCCCCCCCCTCTCTCTCTCTCTCTATCTATCTATCTATCTCTATCTTTATCTCGTTGGTACTTACACGAGGCGCACATGTGTGGTTGCAGATACCCAGGAGAAGACCGTCGAGTTCACGATTCTCTGGCTACCAACCAGATTCCCGCAGCTACGTGCTTACATATTTATCGTTGTATTGGTCATCGTACTTGCCATTTGCTCCTTCGTCTCAGGCTGCTGCGTAAAGAGCTACGCGACTTATAACCGTATACCCTCCGTCTAGGATTAGCGTTCGATCAAAAAGTACTTACACACTTTAAACGTTGAATTGACCTGGCGTTGTGAATTAGGTACAAAGATCCGTCCACAGATTACATGGCTCTCCGACCGTCTATCTTAAATCCCGGGGCGAGCAAGAGTGATAGCCGTTTACTAGCTAGCCACGTTGACAACAACTGGTAACAGTGAGACTTATTCGTTAGCTCTCTGAAGAATTTTAGAGCCCCCTCCGAAGTTGGAATCCTCCTTTCCTGAAACCTTCTGTCAAGTTACTTACGAATATATAATATATTCACTTGCCTTAATCTCAGTCATGCATTACTGAAGGCACGGCTGAATTTAAAATGCCAAGTCAAGTTACGAATATATATTCATTTGCCTTAATCTCAGTCGTGAAGAATAGAATCCCGGGTCATGTATTACCGACGGCACGACTGACAAGGGGAAGCTCAGGTGACTCACCCTGGGATTTCGATGCCAATTTTTTTGGTTATTCTGGAGGTGAAAAAAAGAGATACCTGTCCCGGCGTTTGATTGAATAGGCCTTAGTTTCGGAGTAATAAATTTGTGAAAATTGAAATTTATTTATCGTCAAGTGTAAAACTTCATCCGAAGAATCCAAAATTTTGTTGAAGTTTTACAACAAAACCGACAGCTGTCTTCGCGAGAAGACGCAATAAAGATTCATTCTTTAATTCATTCGCAATTATCAGCGGGAGCTTTTACAGATATGATCGAGCACGCTTGGTTTGCATCGAAATTAATTTCTCTCGCTGATAATTGCAAATGAATCTTTATTACGTCTTCTCG